ATCATCTATCTGGACGATATACTAATTTATAGTAAAAATGAAGAAGATCATTTGAAACATATAAAAATTGTACTAGATTTACTTCGTAAACATCAATTATTTGCTAAGAAATCGAAATGTGAATTTGGTGTTGAAAGACTTGAATTTCTTGGCCATATTGTATCTCCAAGTGGTATTTCCGTTGACGATAATAAAGTGATCGCAGTCAAGAACTGGCCAACACCAAAAGATTTAACACATGTTCGTTCATTTGTTGGAACTGCCGGATTTTATCGGCGATTCATCAAGTCATATGGTGAAATAGCAGCACCACTCACAGATTTAATGAGAGATAACACACCATTTGTATGGACATTGAAACAACAAACAGCGTTTATGTTATTAAAACAAGCGCTCACATCAGCACCTGTATTAAGATTACCAGATTTCACATTACCATTCATTGGGACGAATATATTGATCGATCATAGTTGGCCTGTCGAGTTAGAATACATCATTCGACAGGCAAGACCCCATTCTATATGGTCTACGGCATTGAACCAAAATTACCGGGTGATAAACTACGTCCCTTATTAAATGATAAGGATGAAAACGATACGCAAGCACAAATACAACAACTCGATAAACAACGTGCACTTGTTGATCAACGCTTACATTCCAATGCCAACAAAATGAAAATCTATTATGACAAACATTTAAAACATCAAAATATAGCATTGAAAGAGGGCGAATGGGTATTGATACACAACGAACAAGGAAAAAAGTTTAAACCACATTGGATCGGACCGTATAAAATTCGAAAAATTTGCCCATTAGGCACATACCAACTTCAAGATCAACGGATAAGAAATGAATTTCAACGTCATTTAGTTTCAATTGCTATTCACACAGGTTCGATCTCTCTTATATATATATATATCCCTGGCCAAAAATAGTTAGACTCGGTATTTTCACTATATCGTTACTATAAATTCATATTTTGAGTAAAATAAGTATGTGTTCGGATAGTCCGTGGAATTCTCTACAACCCTGTATAAGTATGTTCTGAATCGCAGTTGTTCGCTAAAAATAAATATAAGCACAAGAAAGGCACCCTCATCCTCAGATTCTCCGGAAATTCATTTTTTTCCGTCATTCTTTCAAATTATTTTTTTCTCGTTTTCAGAAATTTTTACGATACAGGGAGATAGAGATTTTCTATATACTTATTTTTCTCAAAATGTGAATTTATAGTAACGATATAGTGAAAATACCGAGTCTAACTATTTTTTGCCAGGCGGATAAATCATCTGCCAAATGTTTGTGATCAAATAACAGCTAATGGTGGCTGGGACAGTAGAGGGTGACAGAGTTTCTCACGGCCTTCGAGATGGCCAATTTAGTTTTGAAATAAATTGATGATAAGTTGAAAAAATCGACGAAAATTTAGCAACACACATATCACCGGGGAATGAGATGATGAAGGTGTCTTTGTTGCTCTTGAATTTTTTTTCAACAGACGTATACAATTGAAGATGTACTTATAGAGGGTTGTGGAGAATTTGACGTGCTATCCGAATCTCTATTTACTTTGTCAAAACGAACAATTTATAGTGATAATATATGGAAAATACCGAGTCTAGTTATTTTTGGCCAGAGGGATATATATATGTATGTGTACCCATCTTGAGAAAGGATAATTCTGCTGGACGCACGAGAGACTTTATGTTGACTTTAATCAAATCCTGTGAGTCCGTGAGGACGTTTCGATAGACCTATCCAGATATATTGCGATAACTAAAATATATCGAGAATGTGAGAACGTTCCCTTATATCGGAGTATATAGACTACAGGGTTCTGCTCATCCGTATCATCCTGGTAGACTAGACTATTTTTAACCGCAGTTATTATTAACTGACAGAAATATAGTTTGTTAAAAATAGAGAAAATAATTACCAAAGAAATATCACTTTTCAATTCTTTTTTTTTTTCTAACAATCCAAAAACTAATCCCTCACTTCTGGTTCTTCCAATTTCGACATTCAGTTAATTATCTCGTAGGCAACAGATGCGCGATTCTAACACTATTCATGTGGATAAGAAAAAAATTTTAAAAGTTTTTAAATATTTTACTTTTGTACACTCTTTTCGCGTTTTTCTACTACTATCCATCCCAAAATACAGTGCCGGTGGACATTTTCTGATTAACTTTTGATATAAATGAGATAGAGGCCTGCAGTTTGGCCTGCAGTAAAAAATGTGTGAGCTGCATTTCTAATGTTGACATGGTTACCGCGTCAAACGCTTTTCCATAACAAAGTTTGACACGCAAACAACTGAGTTGGTTTGGTCTACTGCTCAATAGTGTTGGTAACAGGAGAATGATGTTGAACAGTTTAGAGAAGTTAAAATGTAAAGCTTGAACATTAGAAAATAGATTGAGACAAACTTGAATAGGTGCAGGATCGCAATTTGAATAGTTTATAGTCAGACATGTAATAATTCTCTTTAAATGCGAGCATATTAGATCATGTGTGAAGTTATCTGTTAATGTTTGCAGCAGATCCGATTCAAGCGACAAAGAAGACAAACTTGTACAGTATTTCAAAAGTTGAAGAAATGATTGGCTCGATAAATCAACGTTAGACACATTCAAATGTTTAATCATTGAGCAGCAGATCATTTGCCGCAAAGACACAAGAGGTAAGGTAAATATATCAAAATGGTATTGATTCCTGGATGCCAATGTCAACAACTCAACGTTGGATAGTAGCGAGATGATGATACAGTTGTAGTTGTTGTTTCTGCATTGCTGGGTTCAAGAAACACCTGCAGATTGATGATTTTATTACGTGCACCACTTTGAAATAGAAAAAGTCATGATGAGACGCCCATATTGCCGATAAAGAACACTGAAATATAAGATCCCGACAATTCGAACTTCAAGTAAAATGTTTTTTTTCGTTCTTTATATGGTTCGATAGAGCATGAGGAACTGAATTAGAAAAACTGGTTTTTAACTTTTGGAAACCAATAAAGAGAAGAGGACTGTTTTTTTCGAAAAACACAAGGGTTTTGAAAATATATGAAATTTTCTGTTTTACTGATTTTTTCTGCTTATGAGACTGTTTTGTTCGGATTCAGCATTAAAAAGTGAGTATAGACACGATGTTAAGGACCCGCCACCCTCAGAATGAATCTTTTTGTATAAAAAACCTTGGCAGAGTAGCACCTATCAGTGCTAAAATGTGAAACTCATAATTATACCGTTATAGAATAAATCAGCTTACTTTTGAGGATTCTGGATCTCTAGAAAACGAATAAGGACCTAAATCGAAAACCTGGTCCCATTAGTCCACGCAGTTAGGTGTCTAGTTTAAAATAAAACCAATCCGAGATCTCTGGCTTAAAGTATATTTAAAAACAGTACCCCACAGTGAAGAGTGGGTTATTGACCTTGGACTCTAAAACGACCCGAAACGGTAAGAGATTACAAGGAAAAACATTTTCATAACCGCACTTTGATATGGCAAACATTTGCTGAAAGTGGCATAAAAAAAAGAAGTTTTTTTCTGAGTGGGGATCCTTAAGGGTACCCTCCCCCTCTTTTTTATAAAAATTTCGGATTTTGAGCTGAGCATAGCCTAATATAGAGGAAAGTGTGGGCTACAAAATAAGACCACTCCCAGTACTCCCCGACCTTTTCTCAAA